AGCACTTGGTTCCTGGCACCAGTATGGTGGCTCCAACCATTTGTAACCCCAGTTCCAGGAAATCCAACACTCTCTTTTAGACCTCCTTGAGCACCAGGCACACATTTGGTGCACATAAGTACTTGAAGGCAAAACATTCCTACACATAAAGTCTGCAAAAAAGCAAAGCAAGACTCAACAAAAAGTCTTTGCTGTTTACTGACATTATGTGTTTGTTTTGTTTTGTTTTTGAGACAGAATTTCTCTGTAGCTTTGGAGTCTGCCCTGGAACTGGCTCTCTAGACTAGTCTGCCTTCAAATTCAGAGATCTTCCCTCAACCTCTCAAGTGCTGGGATTATAGGCCACGTGTCACAGGCCTGGTTTATGCAATGCTAAGAATTGAGCCCAAGGCCTTGTGTGTGCCAGGCAAGAAATCTGCCAACTGAGCTGCACATCTCAGTCCTGATCAAATCCTTTTCCTAAAAAGAAATTGTATTGGCAGACGGGTATGGCTGGGCACATGTGAAGGTCAGTGGACACCTCGCAGGAGCTGCTTCTCTCCTTAACCATGTGTGTTCCAGGGACTTGAATTTAAGTATCAGGTTTGGTGGCAAGTAGCTTTACCCACTGAGTCCTCTTTCTGGCTCCACGGAATAGCCAGGCTGGCCCCATGACCCTTCTGCTTAAGAATCTCAGCATATCCGGCTGCTGGATACAACCAGGCAGAGAAATTCTCAATATGGCATAAAAGGTGTTTCATGTTCTCAACATTCTGGCTTTACCCCTTACTCCTGTCCCGTCCACTACTTCAGACATACTGTTCTCTTCCACAGTGCCCACTGTGCCAGAAATTTCAGCTGTGTTGCTTTTTCTGTGCTTCTCTGGTGAGGGTTTCTGTGTCTAACAGCTCTGGCTGTCCTGGAACTCACTCGGTAGACCAGGCTGGCTTCAAACTCAAGAGATCCATCTGCCAGCCTGGTCTACAAAGTGAGCTCCAGGATGGCCAGGGCTGTTACACAGAAAAAGCCTGTCTCAAAGAACAAATCTGTCTATCTATGTATCTATAATTTTTTTGTGTATGGGTGTTGCACCTACATTGCATGTATGTCTGCTCACTATGTGTATGCCTGGTGCCCAGAGGCCAGAAGTGGGCACTGGATTCCCTGGACCTGGAGTTAAGAGATGGTTGTTAGCTGCCATGAGGGTGCTGGGATTTGAACCTGGGTTTTCTAGGAAGAGATCAGCCAGTGCTCCAGATGAGCCTTCAGGCTTAACCTTTGATTGTCCTGTTCCATTTTCCCTGTTGGCATTACAGGTGCACACCTATTTTTCACCACAGACTAGCTTTGTGGTTGTCCCATACCTTACTCCCTTCTTATATTCTCCTGGTTTGGCAGGGGCTCTAAGTAGCCTAGTCTAGCCTTGTACTCTTGAACCTCTTGCCTCAGTCTTGAGTGGTGTAATTGAGAGCAAGTGTGCCTCCCTGGTTTATTTTAGGTTATCTCCAGTTCTCTCTTGACCCAACTTCTCAAAGTAGTATGCGTTAGCCTCTTTCAAATGCATCTTCCTCTGTTCTCATCTAAAGACCAGACTGGGCTCCCAGAAGAGGGAAGAGTCTTGAACAGGTTTCTATGTCTAGGAAGTTCTTGGAACTTAGGCGATACACATCAACAACTGAACTACAACAACAAAAAGCACTCAGCATTCACAACTTTCACGAAACCCATACAGTTTTCTGCTAGGAGGTAAGGTATGTGGAGGCACTGAAGGCAAGCAGACTGGTGAAATCCAGCAATGACTACAGCAGCCCACTGCTATTCTAATCTAAGGGATTCTAGACACAGATAGTCAGACAGAGGTGTGCTGTAGGGTAAAGGAGGAAGTAGTGGAGTAGAAGCTGAGGGCCTTCTGGTGTGACTGTTGCTTAAAAAAGGAGCATTACGTAGCACGAACTTTTGTGAGCTACAGCAGGCACTGACTGACTTCACAGCTCTGTTGTGTGTTTCGCCTGGTTTTACTAGTCATGTACATGGAAGAGAAATTCCCCTAAACCACCACAGAAGTACTTGGCAGTCCTTCACTTTGATGCAACCTATACGACGGATACTTCTGGAAACAGGGTGGTTTCAGTTTTGATTACTTGTGTTCCTGCATAAGTTGCTGAACACCACTTCATATTTTGGAAGAGTAGCAGTCTCCACAGTGACCTTGTTATCTCTAGAAAAGCCGTGCTGTTTCTTAATTAGGGTATAGGAGCACTGTTGCAAATGCAGGCTACAAATGTGGGATCAAGAGGACAAAAGCTGAACACTATTGTACTGTAGACTATATGCTTTACAAGAAATGTACAGCAACCTTGCTTATGAGCAGCTGTAACAATTAGGAATGGGTTAGAAACACCCCTCACCCAAGCAGAGACGTCAGGCTGCAGCAGAAGGCAGTGCTGATCAGTACCCCTCTTCCATCCAGACAAACTGATGCTAATCACTGCTTACTTCAGGCTATAATCCACCACTTACTCTTGGAGGACACTGTCCTAATTGTTATCTACTGTATCTTGAAAAGCTACTAAAGTCATAAAACCAGATGAATGCGAGAAGTCCCAGTTAGATTTTTTCTTTTAAAGGGAGAGACAGGGCCTATCTACATAATCCTGGCTGTTCTAGCACTAGGTACACAGACCAGGAAAGCTTTGAACTCAAAGATCCGCCTGCTTCTGCCTCATAAGAGCTGGAATAAGAGGAGTATGCCACCACACCAGACCATCCCATTACATAGCTCTTCCACCTTGCTTTACTGTCAAAGTTATTATAAACATGTCTAAGACTACTACCCCCTACTATTTTTGCTTGAGGCAAATATTCAAATTGACAAGCACCCCCAACACTTTTACAGAATTAAGACAAATAATCCAATTTTCTTTTTTGTAATTATTATTTTTGAGATGCGATCTCATATAGCCCAAGCTGACCTTAAACTCCTGTCTCTCCCCCATATCTCCTTTTGAGACAAAGTCTCATTATATTATATGATCAGGCTGGTCTTGAACTCCTTGATTCAAGTGATCTTATTTCATTCAGTCTTTTCAGTTGTTGGTATATGCCACTTACATCTGCTTAAATTTTTGGTGTCTCTCTTTTTAAAGATAAGAGTTTCATTGTATAACTATGGCTGCCTGGAACTATGTAGACAAACCTGTCTTCGAATCTCCCAACTCTACCTCCCAATGGCTAAGCCTACAGATGTGGGCCACTATGCTTGCAGAATGTTTTAAACCTGAATTAAAACTGTATCATCATGTATTATGTAACACACACACACACACACACACACGCACACACACTCATCTTTTCTAATTGCAGGTTAAACAGACACACACTCAAACTTGTACCAATGTAACAAGGCCAAAGACAACACAACTTACTATCAGAAAAGGAAAAACTGTGACCGCCTATATAGTACTTGACAGAGAAACACTGCTATTTGACAGTTGGTATTTTATTCAGATAGCAGTCTCATTACATGTGGTCCAAGAATATTGAAAGAACTCAAATAAAATCAGATGTGAAGGTCAGTCTTCACACATCATAGCCAACGATGCCACGTTTGCCTATGATCTCTCCGACATAAAACCACATCCACACCTCAGTGGCCACCAAACCATTCAGCACAGCTTCCTGGAAAAGAGAAAGCACAAATTTTAAGATACTTTAAAAAATAAACAAACAAATAAAAAACCCAACACATATTTGAAACTATTCTCTCAGATTGACAGAGAACATAAGGATACTATTCAAAACTACAGAAGAGTTTTAGCCAAAGTCAGGAATTACTGATGTTCAATGTTCAACTTCTGAGAACCTTGAACTTTCAATTTTGTAAGCCAAATGGGCCTGGGCTTATAAATTCTTTCAAAGGAATTTTTAAAGACCTGAACTGACTTAACCCTTTCATTATTACTTTATGAGACACTTTATGGGCTCTAAAACAACCCACATCCTGGAAGTGGCTCAAACATCAGACAGGGCACTCATAGGAAGGCTTGTCTCTGAACAGACACTTCTGTCCATCAAAGATGAAGAACTCTGTCTTCTTCTCTTTTACACCTCATTTTCTTCATTTTTATTTACTATTATTTGGTTTAATTCTTTCCAAGTATTGTTCTAAGTCCTTGAAGAGAGAGGAAAAAAACCCCACATATGGTTCTAGAAAGCACTGTTTCATTCAAACACAAACTAGGATCTAGAAACTCTTACTTGGAAAACTACTTAGATGCTTTTGCTACCATCAATAGGGGCCTTTCTGGAGGTCATTTTCCCTTCGGTTATGCCAGAGGCCACTAGAAGCCTCCTGTCACCCACTCCCCAGGTGAGGGCTCTAGCTCCAGCAGTTACTAAAACTGAAACTTAAAAGTCAAATTCCAATTCTTGTGGCCTTTAACATACATGCAATTTGAAAACCCATATTTTAGTATTTTTGTTCTAGAGGTTTTTATTTTTTTATTTTTATTTATTTTTAGCTGAAATAGGGATAATTCTAGGACAAAACCAAACCAAACTAACAAAAACAAAAAACAACCCAACAAAGGCAGCCATCAGATTATACTATACTAATATTAGGAAGGAAATCAAGGCTGCCACTTATTCGAGATGCTCACCTTTATGCTCTAAGACCAAAACTAGACCAAGACAAAGAATTAGCTGAATTATTTCTATACAGATTACAAAATTTCTTAGCAGCCAAAAAAGATTATCTCTCATTATGTTGGATTCTACTTTATTGGGAAATAGATATATTAACCAAAAGAATTGGAAAAATTCCCCAATAAAGACATTTTCTGTCACAAACATATTTTTTTCACAGCCCATAGTTACCTTAACCGTAAGATGTTTGAAGCTACCAGTTTTAGCACTTTGAATTATTTTTTTCGCACTCTGAATAGCTGCAGGGAGTTCAGCAGGGGTTGGGGGAACCAGCTCAACCTTGGCGTATTGCCAAAATGTGGCCAATCGAGGCTTCGAGTAAGTTACAGCAGCTGGAAAACAAAACATAACAAAACAAAAAACCCAGGATGAACTCACTAGAGATCGAAAGAAGCAGATGTGTGGGCTGGACACAAATATTTATTTATGTATCACATCCACTCGCTGCTTGGAGTGAATGTGCAGTGGGTGTGAAAAGTCAGAGCTGCTGCTCCCTGGTAACAAGAAGCTTTTAAAGATGCAGAACACCTGTGTCACAGGGCCACTCAACCGACAGAAGCTCTAAGCAGTCAACTGTGCTAGGATTCATAGTGGCCAGCTAGTATTTACTCACCTCTGAATGGCAAATCTAATTAACTATAAAGTTACTGGTCCCTAATTTGAAAACAAAGACAAAGCAATTTATTCATTTTTCTTAGTAGAAACACCGTATTTGAAAAGAAGGAGTCCAGAAGGGTAAGAAGCTACATAGAACAACATCCTTTAATAGTAAGATTGAAGCTCATCACGATATTGGCCACAAGTCCAGATGAAATCATATCACTTAGTATCCATTTTTGATACCCTTAGCAATATGTGCTAGATTAACTCTCTTTCACCAGAGCACAGTTACACCCCCTTTCAAAACTACACTCATAATAAAAAAAAATTTACATGTATTGGTAACAGAAATTGAAACTAGACTATACTGGGTGGTGGTGGAGCACACCTTTGATCTCAGCAGTCAGGAAGCAGAGGCAAGAAGATCTCTGTGAGTTCAATGCCAGCCTGGTCTACAAAGAGAGTTCCAGGACAGCCACGGCTAAACAGAGAAACCCTGTCTTGAAAGACCAAACCAATCAATCAACCAAACCCCTAAATCTGCTAGAAATTCCCTAGAATCATAAGCCAAAATTCCTTGATGTGTTCACTATTTCACATCAATGAACTCAGTAGGAGAAGTAATGATGAAATCAGCAGAGTGTGGAGATGTAGCTTAGTGGTAGAGCACATGCAAATAAATATCTGGACTAAAGTTGTAGCAAAGAGAGACAGAGACACACAAACTGAGGAGAGAAACATATAGAAACTGTAAAGGCAACTGGGTGGTGGTAGCACATGCCTTTCACAGCACTTTGGAGTCAGAGATAAATCTCTGAGTTTGAGGCCAGCCTGATCTACATAGTGAGTTCCAGGATAGCCAGAGTTACACAGAGAAACCCTGTGTGGAAAAACAAAAAACAGGGTTGGAGAGGTGGCTCAGAGGTTAAGAAGAGCACTGGCTGCTCTCCCAGGTCTTGAGTTCAATTCCCAGCACCTATATGGTGGCTCATAATCATTATATAATGAGATATGGTGCCCTCTTCTGGCCTGCATAGATAAATGCAGACAGAACACTGTATACATAATAAAATAAATAAAAAAAGAAAAACAAACAAAAAGGAAACTGCAAGAGCAAGAAGTGCTCTTAACTACCGAGCCATCTCTACCACCATTTATTTATCTATACAGACTAATATGCGAATATAAGTATGTGTCTGAATATCTGTTGTGTTGGCTAATTTTGTGTCAACTTGAAACAAGCTAGAGTCATTTGGTAAGAAGGAACCTCAACTAAGAAGGGGCATCTTGATTGGTGAGTGATGTGAGAGGGTCCAGCTCACTCAGGATGGTGCCACCCCTGGGCTGGAGGTCTAAAAAGGCAGTCTGAGTAGGGTGGCGGCGGCAAACACCTTTAATTCCAGCACTTGGGAGGCAGAGTGGGTTCCAGGACAGCCAGAGCAACACAGAGGAAACCCTGTTTCAGAAACAAACAACCAAAAAACCAAACCAAAACAAGTAGGTTGAACAAGCCATGGGGAGCAAGCAGCACTCCTCCTTGGTCTCTGCCTCAGAAGCTGGCTCTAGGTTCCTGCCCTGATTTCCCTGGATGATGGATTTCACACTGTAAAGATGAAACACACCCTTTCCTCCCCAACTGCTTTTGGCTATGGTGTTTACCACAGCAAATGAAACTGTCAACTTTAAAAATACTCTAGCAGCAAGAAAAAAGCCCAATACCTAAATGGTAATTTGTAATTCCATTGTTTAATAAAAGGAACTAGGGCTTCTTGGAGAAATGGCCAATCCTAAGGCTGGGCCGAGAAATAGAGTCATCATCATGTAGAACCAAAAAGATGAGGCATGTTAAGGGGCAGAGGCGCCAACTTAAAAGATCTACAGATGGCCACGGCTGGCACAATCTCAGCAATAAATGACACATAATTAGATATGAGAAGCATGGAATAAATTTAAATGAGCCAGTGCAATGTACAACTGAAAAAAAATAAATGGGAAAAAAGAAGAAGAAAGAAATGGAGACAGATCTTTCTCACAGAATTCCACTTGATCTATGTAGACGATGGATCCATCCACCACTCTAACAGAAAACCCTCCTGCTCTGGTTACTGGCTTCTAAAGAATGGGTATAGACACAAAAGAAGACATAAGGCTGTCATCACCATTAAATCATTGTAAAAATAACGTTCTTTTTTTTGGAGTGGGGGTGAATGTAGGAGGTGGACTTGCTGAGAAGTCTAGGAGAGGGAGGGGGAATGGTGTGTATATGAAAAGGACTAAAATTCATTATATAAATGTATGGAGCTGTCCAAAACAACTGGTTAGCAGTGGGAGATCTTATTAGATCAGGAGATGGGTATGGCCTAGGCAGTTGTGTTTCATGTCTTTAATTCCAGCACTTGGGAAGCAGAGGCAGGAGGATGGATCTGAGTTTGAGGTCAGCCTGGTCTACAGAGCCAGTTCCAGGATAGCTAACTTACACAGGGAAACCCTGTCTTGAAAAACCAAAAAAGAGATGGGTCTGAGTATCTTGAGCCTCCTGATATGTGATCAGGGCAATTCATTTCTGCTGTTCTTCTCAAAATCCCTATGTCCAGACTAATCAGCAGAGAAACTCAAGATGACCAGTTTGGGCAACATTCTTCAGGATATCTAGACAGATACCTCAAAGTTGCTGAATCTTGAAAGATCAGACCTAAGAAAGGGGAGCCTGGAGACCAACAACTAATCAGTAAGGTAATACCCTGGACTGGGACCTAGAAGTGAAAGATTAATGGAAAAACTGGTGAAACCCAAATAAGATCCCCAGCTTAGTGAAGGGGAGAGAAACCAGATGCTGACCTTCCTGGGGAGATCCGATGATAAAGCTACATAGCCTGGGGAACGGGAGATTAGTCACATTTAATACAGCAGCCTATGCTGTAGAGCGAAATCCACCTGATATTCCGGCCCCATCAGAGCTCCTGTCAGTATGTCTGGAGAGCAAATTACCTTTCAACTACTCACAATAGTAGAAAGAGGTATGTGTTGTATGACAAAAGATAACGTTGGTAATGGGTTTTATTTTTGATTTTATCAACAAAGCCAGTTTTAAATTCCTGAATACAAGCTATCTAAATGATGCAAAAATCATACTGTTAGGAAAAGAAATTCTCTATGAAATATTAAAAATCGCACCTCAAACCACCAAAGTCCAAGCGTCAAGCCTTCTAGGTGTATTGATGTAAAAATCCTAACGGTTTGCAACAGATAGCGTGACGATCTTAGTAAAAGGAAAGCTAAAACAAGAAATGCTTTGGGAATGTGGAAGACGGCTTACCAGCCCATTAGTTAGTGTTCTGTAGGAGGCAGGCCTGTATTTAGAGTCTGGCACTCTGCGGTCCTCAATAGCTCAATATTGTTTGGCTGCTTATGAAGGGGAGGAGGGAACGAATTACTAAGCGTCCAAACACAGCAAAATAAGCTCAGAAGCAAGTTTTAAAAATTCGCTTTCTATTCATATTTTATCTGAACATTTAGAATCTTAACTATTTGAAAATCTGATCTTCAACCACGTGTAGTACACATACAGAAAAGAAAAAAAAAAGTAAATTTCACCTTCCGTTTCAGAAATACAACGAATAATCTGCTGCTCAGAAGAGAACGGTACTGACAGAATATATTACTCAGGCGTGTGACTATTCAGTGTTCATTTGCGATACGGCGGTCTACCAGGCGTTCAAAACACAGCAAGCCCTCGGAAGCCAAGCCACCACGACAAAGACGACTGCCGACATGCACCGCTACCTATGCGGACTGGGGCAGGGACATTGATCCCTACGTTCCAACTTCCCTTCGCCGGACGCAGGCTTCTCTAGGATCCGACCAAGACGGTAAGCAAACACAACTTTCAAAGGTCTTACCGGTCTTGGAAAATTTCTGATGACTTCCAGATGCTTCGCCAGACCACCTAAGGAGGGCTGACGCGCGACTTTTCCCTGTTTCCGCCGTCCCCTTCCCAGGTCTCCAGGGCACGGTAAGGGGGCCTCATGGCGTTCGCGGCGGAGGGAAGCCGGGCTTCTTCACACGACCCTCTTCCCGGGCGCGGCTAGGGCCCGAAGAAGCCGGGAGCAGGCCGGGCGAGGTTGCAGCCTCACGGGGGCCTCCGGACGGCCCTGCCGACGCCCGCGGGCCCCTGGGTGCCCACTCCCTCCCCCACCAGCCCCCGCGAGCCTTCCCCCCCCCGGCCGCGCTCACCGGATACTAGCCCCGGGGCCTTCTCCGCGAAGTTACGGACGAACTTGGCCATGGTCTAGGGTGGAAGGTCCGTCTCCCCGAACCGCCGGCTGAAAGTCACCCTCGGAAGGACCCGTGGCAGGCCCCCTGCCCCAGTTCCAAGGTCAGGCTGCCCCTCTCTGTGCCTGTTCAAAATATATAGGCATCCCTCCTGTGTTTGTGGAATCTAATTAGCCAGTTAATTTTGTTCAGCACAAATAAAATGTAGATATGAATAGATGAGGCAAGAGAACATGTAGCGAATAATGACTTTTCTCGGGAAACAGGCATTGCTTGGGACAGCCAGTCATGGCGGCCAGGAAGACAGTTGAGGTGAGGAAATGCGCATGCGTTGTTGATTTTCTTAGCTTCCTCTCCACTTTGCTTGCGGCAGTTTCGTAGTTTTTCAGAGAACAAGAAAATTAAGGCTGGAGGGCGTCTTGTGGGCTGATATGTTTGTTTTAAAGACATAGCAGGTCTAAGGCTGAAAAGGAGCTTTAAGAGGCCGTGTAGGCGTCACCTAACCCAAGTCACCAGACTCACCCAACCAATGAACCACTTCTTTAACTGACATACCCCATCCCTCTGTGTAGCTTTGTGCCTGTCCTGGAGCTCGCTCTGTAGACCAGGGTGGCCTCGAACTCCCAGAGATCCTCCTGCCTCTGCCTCCCGAGTGCTGGGATTAAAGGCGTGCGCCCCCCCCCCCCCCCCCGCTAATTGATCTTTTATAGTCCCATTTTCCTCCGCAGCCAGTATCAAAATTGGAATCCAACTCCGGTTTCTCAAACAAGCCACATGGAGCTATAAGGACAGGAGGAAGACGGTCATAAGTACTGAGGGTGCACAGTATGCCATGCATTTTTGTAATTCAGTAAACGCTTTGGGTATTGTTCCCTTAAAGACAGATTTCTAAATGGTCATATAAGGCGTCTCAGAGTTGTAAGATAAAGCACAGAGAGAATATAAGATTAGGTAGGCGTGGTGCTGATATTGAAGACCTAGAGAGCCTTGATGTGTAAAAAAACATACACATTCTAAAGGGCTGGTACTTTGATATGACAGAAAAAAAAGGTGTAGGAAAGTGAGATTTTATTAGAACAAGAAAAGTTCTGGAGAAGCCTAAATGTTAGAAGTAAAACGGATGAGAGCGTTAGGTAGAAAGATCAGAAGTGAGATTAAGGAGTCAAGAGCATGTTAATGAGAGAGAGACAAACTGTCTTAGATACTGATGTCAAATTAAGGCAGGAAAGATAATTTGGGTGGTGAAACCCATGTTATTCCAGCATCTAGGAGCCTGGAGGATTGGGAGTTTCAGGACAGTCTGGACTACAGGGTAAGACTATGTATTTTTGGGAAAGAAAAGGCAAGCTAATTATCAGTATGAATATCTGTGACATTAACTAGAATGAATTCCAAAATCTCAGAAACAAGATTGCATCGACAAAGAAATATGGAAGAGAATAGAAGTTAGACAACTCAAGGGGAATGTGGAACTCAGGATAAACTGAAGCTTGAGAAGGGGAATCATCAAGAACTTCAAGACAGCAAAGAAGAGAGAGGAATTAGTTTGAGAGTGGTGGAACTTTTCCTTGAGTGGAGTGATGGGAGAAAAGTGAGGAATCTGACGGATGCCACCTGAGTGTAAAAGGAAAATGGGAGGAGAGAGAATTCTAGGTGAGGGCTAAGCTTTAGATAGAACACCTTAAAGACACTGAAGAGTTACTGGGCAGTAGCAGAACCCACAGGTTTGTGGTTGCAGCAATCTAAACATCCAACAGTTGCCTGTACTTTAGATGTTGGAGCAGAGGATAATGTTAAATGAAACCAGGCTGAGATCCTGCATGTCACAGGTATAGAAACAGGGGATGAGGACATGGTAGCAAATTATTAAAGGATCTGGTGTTTAGGCTAGATAAAGTAAAGCCATAGGGTGCAATTTAGAAAAGAAAAAAAAAAAGATTCACTGAGACTCTTCTGAGAACAGTCCCAGGGTCCCTCTAGAGGTCTATGTGAGGTGGATTAGGCCAGCCAGGTTACACATATTTGCTAGTACCTTGCTTAGAGAGAGTGGCAAAATCCTCTAGGTTTTCAGAGGGACTTTTGAAATGTCACTAGATTTTTCTTTCTGTGGTGGTGGTACTGGGCTTGAATTTAGCAATGTGTATGCCAGGCAAGCTCTCTACCATTGAGCTACATCCCTTTTAAATATTAATTTGAGCCAGGAAGTGGTGGAGCACCCCAGGAAGTTTGAGGCCAGCCTGATCTACAGAGCAAGTTCCAGGGTCGCCAGGGATATAGAAAACCCTATCCTGAAAAGCCAAAATAATAAAACAATTAAGTTGGGCTGGCCTTGAACTTACTAGGTGGCCCTAGCAGGCTTTGTCCTCTGTTCCTCCTATCAGTTAGTAGCTGGGATTACAGGCATACACTATCACACTAGGCTGTTGCCAGCTTTTAGTACTGTAGTACTGTAATAAAGGGAAAGAAAAGGTAGTAAGTCAGGTGCTCATTTATTAAATACAAGGTTTGAACAAACACCCCCAGGCAAGTTTGACAAGAAGTAACCTTCCCGGAATGTTTCAAATATAAGTCATATTGATTGAATTTGATTTCAGTCAACTTTTTTTGCTGTTTTGTTCTCCATTTTTCTGTCTGTAAGTTCTTTTCCAGTTTCGCAATTAGATCCTGTGTACTATTTCCTCACGTGGCATGGTACAGCATCAGCCTGGCTTGTAAAGGTACCTAGCAGTCTTAGGCTTTGCCCAATGGCAGCTCAGCAACCACAATCAAAAAAAAAAAAGTAATGAAACTTGTGTAGAGTGTGGTAGTAACAGCAACTGGCACCATTAGACTACTTGTCAAGTTTCCTTCAATTTTCACATACCCATAGAAAGCCATATTAAACAAACAAACAACTGCTTAAACCCTAAATAATTTTCCAAGTTTAGTATTAGCTTCTTGGTGAGTTAGGAGCAATGCCAGAGCTGACCGAAGTCTTCACTTTCTTTTTGTACTCCAGCAAAATCATCACGTAAAACTTGGTATGTCAGGAAGTCTTAACAGGTTTATAGCTGCTGCTGAGTTCCAGACAAGACACCCCTTTTCCTCTGCAAGTGCGTGTATGCGTCCTGTTGGACAGGACAGTAGTCTCCAGAATTCCTTTTTCTGGATGTCTTTAAATGAGTTCACAGAAAGGAAGAGGCACAGAGGACACTTGGTTTCCTCACCAATAGTGGCCTTAAGCTACACACGTGCTTTTGTGATCAAAGGATTCAGCAGCATCAGTGGTGCACAGCCATTCTTAGAAAAGTATCAGAAGAGCACAGAAACAAAACAGAACACAAACTCACCAAAAAAGGCTTACAATCTGAAGGTTCAGTTCAGAAGTAGAATACAGAAGTAGAATACAGACAGACATAGAGGCAGCATAGAGGTGATCAGCTGGGAAGCTGCTGGAACAGCTGTCTTCTGAGGTCTTGTATCCATTTCCATCCAGTTTTCACCTGCAGAATTCCGGCCTCTCCTCTTTTTAAACAAAAACATCCTCCCACATTAGCTTTGGAAAAATAAATGCAGTAGGTAGAAGCTAATTTCAAATGCAGGTCATTCCCAGAGAGGGAAAGGAGAATAATACACACAGAAAATGAAGTCTGATTAAAGAAAAGCAATGCTGTCAACTGGGCGCATGGAGTCTTAAGGATCTGGCATTTTCGAATGTGTCCTAGGCTTCCCTGTTCAGACAAGCACGGCAACAGCTAACATTTACTTCTCAGCAGAGTGAGAAGGCCTCTCTGGTCAGAGGTTTGCCAGTTGACACCACCAGAAAATACACAAAGGACTGCTTATAGCTACTTCTGTTTGAATCCTGCAACACTGCTTCTGTATATGAAAGGCTGTGGCTAATAGTAATGTTCTTTAAAGGAAGCCACAATCCCATTTCCTTGTCCTTTACACCTCTGGGCTGAGACTGATACTGATATAAAAACATCCCATACAGGCATGAGCCTCTCATGGCATGTTAAGCAAAATGGTTAAAGTGGGATCAAACCACTTATTAACTACCCAGAGCTACGTGGATATTTAAAATGACTTGTGGACAAGACTTTGCTCCAATCTCTATTTTGTTAATTGGTAAACTAAGGCTAGATTAGAAGCAGCTCTTAGGAGCCATGTCACAGCCCAAACATTAGCTATATACATTTTATAGTCTCACAATATTACTTGACTAGAATGAATATATGAGAAGACATTGCCACATACCACATATATTTATTTTATCATGGAGGACACAATATAATGTGGTACTCAAGTCATATGAGACCAATAAAAAGACAGTATCTGTGTGTGTAACACATACACACTGAGATATACTGCATTAGCATCTTCATAGATACACTATTTATTGCCTATTTTACCCAGGCCTAGTTCTTGGGGCACAAAATAAAAAAGGGCACCAACAGCTTTTTACTTCTTCCCTTACTGGATGCTTCACCCACTACTGTCACTCTTTAAGACTGTGCAGTTAAGTTTTTGGTGGTGACAATCTCATGGGAGTGCCTGTGATGGTATCTTTAAGTTACAAGATAATACAAAATTAAGAGATACCAACAGAAGCTGT